CCCTTCAAAGAAGCTCTCCAGGTAGCTGTCCAGAAAATCGAAGCCCTGCGTCTGAATCTGGTCCTGGAAGATCTGGCGACCGGGATCCTTGGCCATGTTGAAGCGGATGGTGTTGCACCATGCGAGCACGCCGGCCTCTCCAGGTCTTGAGCCGTCCATATTCGTGTGTTATGTCGAGAAGGTACCCGGCTGAGTGGCGAGGTGGGCAGGGAGTCTTGAGGGCGAGTGCTGCGTGTGGCTTGAACTTGGCTTGAACCGCGACGGGCGCGTCGGTCACGTGGTCGATACGCGCAAACAACGTCACGCGTACTTGTTTGTGCGGCCCTCCGACTTCTCTCAAGTCTCCCGGGCGGCGCGCTCGACGAGATGCCTGACCTCTTTCACTCGAACGCTCATCGTCTCCGAGATGATGGTGGCTGAAGCTCTTCTCGACGATGGAGCCGATTCTGTCTGATGGTCGTCCGCGCGCTGAGCGTTGTTTCTCGCCAGGCGGTACATCGCGCCCATGCATCCTCACTCTGGCTAGGCTATGTCCAGGACTGCTCATCCTCTGCTGGCCAAGAGATTGCTATTGCAGCATTGCCAGACCACGTGCTCCAATACGGCCGAGATCACTGTAATCCAGGAACCGGAGCATCTTCCGTGTACGGCATGTAGTGTGGACCCTTCATCCTGCCTCGCGTTATCAGGAAACCTTGAACCCGAACGTGGGAGGCCGCTTCCTCTCGAAGGCAGAAGTCCCTTTCGCAGTGCGGTATGTGTAACTATATATGCCTCACCATTCCACTTGCTGACATGGTGTAACCCGATATAGTGCCGCGTTAGCCCCATTGGTACCTTGGTCGTGCAGTGAAATGGCTAGCGGTAGGACGCAGGACACCTCAAACTCGAGCCGCTAATGTCCGGTGGCTGCACTGCGGTGACACTATCCCTTCTCAGTGAGACATGCCCCTAGACAACTGGCCCATGCCTACGATTTAAGAACGAGGGTTCCAACAATCGACGAACATCCCACCTGCGTCTCCATGTCTCATATTGACTCCCCCTTCACACTCGCGGGCGTGGTCGTGGCTGCCATCGTCCTCCTTCGTTTCTGTTTTAGGACTAAACGTCATCCACGCTGCCTCCCACTACCGCCCGGTCCCAAGCGCCTCCCCATACTGGGGAATGCCCTGGACATCCCGCTGTCTAAACAATGGCTGACTTTCCAGCAATGGGCAGAGGAATACGGTGAATAGCTTGCCCACCCTTGACATACCTGTCTCTCTCACGCCTACCCACAGGAGACATCTTTTCCATCAGTCTCTTGGGCCAGCCTGTCATTGTCCTGAACAGCGTCCAGACCGCCGCCGATCTCCTCGACAAGCGCTCTTCGAAGTATTCAGATCGATTCAAATCCACGGTCGTTCCATTGTACGCCGCCCTCCACGACCACTACTGACATCACAGGGCTACTGACGAGACCGTGTCAGGATCGGCTGGGACTGGAATGTCGCACTGATGGGCTATGGTCCACAGTGGCGCCAGACTCGACGTGCCTTTCATGAGCACTTCCACCAGGGCGCCGTTCAGCAATACCAGCCGACCCAGCTTTCTGGGGCGCGCAAGTTCCTGACAAGGCTTTTGGCCAATCCTGGCAACTTCGTCCACGACCTCCGCTAGTAAGCATCACGCAGCGCTGATGTGGCTCGACCGCTGACGATAGCACGCAGTGATCTGGGAGCGACGATCCTGGAGGTCTCCTATGGCATCAAGGCGAAGGACGCCGACGACGAGTACATCGCGATCGGCGAGCGCGCTGTGGAAGGGCCTACGGAGGCCCTCGTGCTCGGCGCCTTGTGGGTAGAGTTCTTGCCATTCCTTCGCCACCTTCCCCCGTGGTTCCCAGGCGCTTCGTACCAGCGCAAGGCCGCCCAGTGGCGTGATGAAGCTATGGCTCTCAAGCACGAGCCGTTCAAAAAAGCCATTGCGGACTTTGTCAGTCGAAGGACCTCTCCGAAGTCTGGCTTGCAGTCATGCTGACGTTCGATGGTCCCTCTGCAGCGGGACGGCGAGGGGACGTGGTCGCTTGCGAGCGAGATCGTGCACCGTGACTATCAGGTCGGCGGCGGATCGTCCGCCGGAACCGAAGAACTAGCCAAGAACGTGGCGGCTGTCACGTATGGAGGTGGGTCCACTCTCGACTCCTCGTACAAACTCATCAAACCTAACTTACCTTGTGGCAATTCTATCGCCGTGACAGCGGGAGCGGACACGGTGAGCCTTACCCCATACGCTGCTTTTGTTGTACGACACATCCGCTGATGCTGCGCAGAGCTTCTCCACGCTCCAGACATTCTTCCTCGCCATGGCGCTCTACCCTGACGTACAACGGAAGGCCCAGGCTGAGCTCGATGCCGTGATAGGGCCCTGCCGTTTGCCCGAGTTTGAGGATCAGAAGTCACTGCCATACATACACGCAGTCGTGAAAGAGTGCCTCCGGTGGCAGAATGTCTTCACGCTCGGCCTTCCTCACCGCCTCATGGAAGATGACGAATACAGAGGGTACTATATCCCTAAGGGGTCGATCGTCCTCGGTAACATATGGTGAGCGTCCTCTCAAGCTGACCTACGGCGCTAGCTGACCTTCGCACTCTCCTAGGGCCATTTCGCATGATCCTCAGACTTACAGGGAACCCGATGTCTTTGATCCGGACCGCTACTTCAGAGACTGTAAATGGGACGCAAGCGTGCTCGACCCCCTTGACTACGCATTCGGCTTCGGAAGGAGGTATGGCTCTAAACTTAGAGCGAGATTAGAGAACTTTGCTGACCCTCTTCTTTCAGAGCCTGCCCAGGCCGCCACTTTGCGGTGGCCTCTATCTACATATATGTCGCTTCCATCCTGCATGTCTTCAACATAACCCCGAAGCGCGATGCTCACGGCAACCCAGTACACATTGAGCGGGACATGATATCTGGCGTCGTGACGTGCGTACCTCCGTCTACCGGATAGTTCGCGTCGTATGCTCGTGCGGGACATACTAAAGCGCGATGCTACGTAGGTATCCGAGCAAGTTCGAATGCGACATCAAGCCACGCTCTGCAGAGGCCGAGGGGTTGATCCAGCTTTGCAAATCGGACTGAACGGAAATAGAGGGTTCATGGTGGCGAGGACAATGCTGCCTTCTGACTCTAGGAAATTGTACTACTGTTGACGTTAGATCATGTTGTGAGCGACAGCTAAGGCGCTCGAGCTGTACTGTACGTGTCGAATCCCATCGCCGTTCTTCTTGGAGTATACTGTAGTGCAATGACGGGTGGAGCCTCCTAGGATGTCGGGAGAGTCGACGATTGAAGAAGCGATTTCGACTTCGACTTCGATGCGTGAGCAAGGTCTGATACTGTCCGGAAGCATACTCCTGCTCTGTACGAGATGAGGGTCTCTGGCAGGTGGGGCCAGAAGATTGACTATCATTATCAGAGCATATATTACTGGGCTTGTTGTGAGTAAATCGTACACCTCGCGCAAAGGAGTACAGAAGAAACGTACGCTTGTACATCAACCCGTCCCTCGCGAAGACGGCACCGTCATAGATCATGCAGACCGGTTCTTCGCCTTCCACCCAACGTTGAGCTCCCTGTAGCACTTTGGACAGAGGTTGTGCGCTAGCTTTGGTGAACCGCAGCTCTCGCAATGCACCAGGTCTATTGAGAGGTCTGTCAGAGGCTGGACTTCGCCGACAAAGTCCCTGTACGTACTCTGTTTATCCTTCAAGCCCTTATTGGCACTCCTCATGGCTTTTCGAGAGTGAGACGTCTTCTTTTTGGGCACTGCGAGGAGCCATGGAGGGAGGAGCTCGAGCAAGGAGGGTAATGAGGGAATGGCCCAGGTGAACGGCTTCGGCGCAGCCAAGAAAGCAGGAACGAAGGCAGCGGCGAGGGACATGCGGGCGAGAGGGGCTCTCATGGCCGCAAGCCATGAGCGGGATTGATGTAGAGCCAGTGCCGCTGCCATTGTCGTCGAGAGTAAGGAACAGGCTGCAGACCGTGGCTTGGTACGATCGAGGGCATGGGCGCTCCGCCAAATGTTGTTCGCTCGCGCCCGTAGGCGCTTGTCCACTGCAGTCACCACCGTCCGCCATGTTCCGCCTCACGCGCCCCCTACTCTACGCGGTACGGAAGCCAACGACGGGCATCACTGGCCTCAGAGTACACCATGACCCGCTTCCCGAGCTGAAGAAGACCTACGAGGCCACCCTTCAGACACTCTCCGCCATCCCCCAATCATCCGTGTACCGCCAGGGTACCGAGGCGCTCACGTTGCACAAGCTGAAGGTGGTGGAGAAGGCGAACGGCAACGTTGCCGCGGTAGAGGAGGTGCTGGACGAGGGCCAGATTGAGGAGGTGCTGGATGTCGCTCAAGACGAGCTGAGTCTGGCAAATAAGATGCTCGAGTGGAAGGCGTGAGTGTATCCGTTTCCCTTGCCATGACGCTGCCTCACGATACTTGCAGTTGGGAGCCTCTGGAGGAGAAGCCGCAACCAGGACAATGGCAGTACTTCGGGAAGGAGGCCACGGCGTCGACATCATCGTGATTCATGTCAATGGCACACATATCCTGATCTTCCACTGCACACTTTGTTGTCTGCCTCAACGGTCGCGAGTCGTGCCAACTGTCATTCAGCCCCACGGACCCTATCGAAGTTGTGGTCGCTAGTAGCCTGATCTGCCTGTCTCTTGGGGCATCTGACGCAGCTTGTCTGGCGAGTACTGCACTGAGTTAGCCAAGGTGTGGTTGAGCCCGTCCTACATCCCCACGAGGACCCGGCCGTGCCTTCGCCCCCTGGGATTCCGGGGGTGCATGATACTCTGTCGATTGACACCTGAGCTCAGAACGTGTTCCGAGAGCTATGCTCATATTGCGGTACATCCTCGTCTCCGCGAGTACTTCCGTTAGGGCCAGGGGAGGACTATGATGCAGGCTTGACGTGGGCAGACGTTCGAATGGGCAAAAAGATCGCTGACAGCAGGATTTGAACCTACGCGGGCAATGCCCAAGTGATATTGAGACCAATTCAAATCACTCGCCTTAACGACTCGGCCATATCAGCTCGTTGAGCAAGGCATTATACATTGATATAACCTGCTGTGTGACAGCAGGCAGTTGTGCCCGCATCGAGCCTGCTTCTGACCTTCACCTTGTCCTCATCGACCCCCCGTATTTGAGCAGCACGTTCCAACACCTTCGTCGCCACAGAGTACCCTATCGCACGCAATGGACTCCCTGATTCCATTTACAACTTCTGGATCGCTCGTGGATTGCGTCGATAGTACGTCTGCCCCAAGTCCACTCGCGGTGCACCTGAGCCCATAATCCCTGCCATCCTGCACCTCGGTCAACGTCGCCTTGGCACCGGTTAGGGAAGATGCTCGTGGTCCTCCGAGACGGTCGGAAACTTCAAGGGGTCCTGCGGTCCTACGATCAATTCGGTGGGTGCTAGGAAGACTTTCCGGAGTGGCTGCGAGACGGCATCTGACAATGTTGTGCCTCCACTAGCCAACCTGGTCCTGGAGGATACAGTGGAACGGATATACCACCAAGACGTCTTCGCTGAGGCATGGCGAGGGCTCTTTCTGATACGAGGAGAGAACGTCGTGTTGCTTGGGGAGATCGTGAGTCGACTGGTATATTGCTCTAAAACTCGTGCTCAAGTACTTGCTGCGGCGCAGGACCTCGACCAGGAAGATGAAGTTCCTCTGCGTCAAGTAGAGTGGAGCGTGCTGGAAGCGTATCACAAGCAAGAAATCGCGAACAAGAAACGGCGAGAAGAGCTCAAGTCCCAAATCCTCTTCGAGGAGAAAGGCTTCTGCAAAGAGGGCGGAGAAGGCGACGGCTATTGAAGAGACAGTCCGAGCTCGGGCCAAGGTATTCGTCGTCATTCACCGGTCTTGGTCATTTCGTGTGGATGCATTCCCATCGCAGGCAGATTCATTACGCCAGAGGATCATCCGATTTGTTGTATTTATGTCATTGCAGTCGCGTTCGATGCTGGTATCACTGCTACAGAGCTGAAGAATCTAATGCATACAGGCCTCGGCCAACGATGATGACATGATGTGTTGCAAAGAGCGTAGCAAGGTGCGGTAGCAAGCTGTATGAGATATCAGTTCTTCTGCTTTCCCTTCTTGTGCGAGGTCCCATTAGCCTTGGGCTTAGTAGCACCGTTGACCTGCCCATTTCCATTCAACGGCTGGGGAGGGACGTTCGGCAAAGGCACAACTGTCCGTCTGGACTCGAGGCTGATGACATCCTCCAGCTGCCTACGGATCTCGCGCTCTTGGGTCGTTAGCGCGGCCATGGCCTTCTCCTTCAGCTCAAGGTCGAACTCGATCTCAGTAGCGCGGAGCTTCTGCCAGCTGCATGTCTAATGTCAAAAGCTGTGCTGATGACCATAGCGAATCACTCACCCAGAATGGCGTTGGCATTTCTTCTTGCCTCGGCACCACCAAGCGCCCTCCTCCACGCCAGTACCGTCCACCTGCATGGCGTCTGCATGTCCCTCTTCATAGCTGTCCAGCACGCCGGCAGCATATTCCGCGTATTCGTCCTCATCAAAGCAGAGGCGCTGGTCCCAACCGCATTCCTCCACCCGCTCGGCCCGCGCGGTCGCGAGCTCAAGGAGCCTTTGTCGCCAAAGAATCACCTCGAGCTCTTGCTTCAACGCCTCGCGCTTCGGAGCAATCTTGAGCAACTCAGCCTGCAGACGAGTGACAGCGCGCTCCCGCTGCGTCTTCGTCGGCCTCTGGACCTCGTGGTTCTCCATAACCAGCTGGCCGGGCACAGTACGCTGTTGTTCCGGCTTCACCGCGCGTTTGGGTTCCTCCTGGACAACGTGCACTTTCACAACGACGCCTTCCCGTTGCTTGACGTCCTTGACGCTCGCCCATAAGATTGTTTGGTCGCCACCCCACCCATCGATGCGGCGCTGCATGTATGTGATTCCGCATTCGTCAGAGCAAAACTTGGAGAACGCCCCACGCGCGGGCTTGTGGCAGGCAGCGGCCGACGAAGGCCTCGGGTGTTTCAGGCCAGCAAAGCATCGTTGCTTGTAGGTCGTCTTCAGAGGGAGGTGTGGATTGGCTGCCATAGAAGTCAGTCACGATGGGAAGATGTGCGATGTAACAACTAGCGCACCTTTAATGCAAGGCGGGCAGACGAACTGGTCGATTAGGTCGACCTCGAGGTCGTTCATCTTCAGGCATTGTGTATGGTACCACTCGTCGCAACTGGTTCATGAGGTGAGTACAATGAGGTTACATAGACAATTGAGCAAAGAACTCACCGGTCGCAGGCGATCATGACCTTGTCCTCGTCATAGCTTGTCTTGCATATACAATAGAGCTTGTCGTCCACGACTTCCTCTTCCTCTTCTTCCACCTCCTGGGCCTTGCTGGACGGTTCCGCAGGGGCCGGCATGACAGACGCAGAGCGTGATCGAGACTGCTCAACCGCCGCAGAAACCGAACGCTTCGCAGCGGACGCTGACAGGGCGTTCGCCGCAGTCGTCTTCTTGCCCTTGGTACCCGAGCCACTACCTGAGGGCGTGAGGCGGCCGCTAGACGCAGTCGCGCTATCCTTGGTGGCTTTCGCCTTGGACTTCGTAGCGGCGCTGGTAGCCTTAGGTTTCGGCTTCGGTGGCTGCTTGGCCTTCTGAGTGGGCTTTGCAACGTTATATGCAAGCAGCGGTATTCCAGATACAGAGGGGGCGTACCTTTGCGGAGGAATCTTTCTTCTTCATGCTCGATGAGGCGCTTGTGCCTTCTGCTTTCTGCTGCTTGGCGGTGGATTGCTGTTGATCAGTCGCAGTTGCCTTCGCTGACTGAGCAGGAGGAGCCAGCGGCGGTGGCATGGCCACCCGCTCCGAAGGAGCAGGGGTCGTAGAGCCAGGGGCAGGGGCAGGAGCGGGAATCTCCGGACTCTTTCTCTCAATCGGCTCTTTGACTTGCGACTGATCAGGACGGACTGAGCTAGAGGATGCACGGGAAGGCTTGCTGTGATGTGCATGCGGTTGGTGGTGCGGATGCGAGTACGAGTGTGATTGTCGCGGTTGGTCGTCAACCAGGCTGAGCAGCTCATCATCCAATTCGCTATTCATCGCGACATCCCCCTTAGCGGCGGACGGTACAGACGCGCTTGCAGCGAGATCAAGTTCCATCGCAATGTCGGCGTCAGAGGATGGCGAGACTGCGACGCTAGGCACACTACGGTCGTCCGGAGTAACACGGTCGAGCTCTTCCTCTAACAGAGCGAGCGGTGTGGGGGTCCTGGATCGCTCCCGTGTCTTCCTATGCCTACTCTTCGTCTCCGCAGGAGACCGCGGCGACGAAGGGGATGCCGCCTGCACCTTGGCGGCTTTGACCTCAGGTGGCGGAGATCCGGCAGAGTCCGGAGAGTCCGGAGGGAGTTCAGGAGCGGGGGACAAATGGCGTGATGCATTGGCAGGAGAGTCCGTAGCAAACTGCTCCATGAGCCACTCGTCCGCATCTTGCTCCGACGGTATATGCGCTGCGGTGTCTGCCTGGGGTAGCACCTCGCTGTGCTGCGTGACCTCTGGCTCAGGTTCATCGGCTACAAGCGGCACCAAGGAAGCATCGGGTATCTCCTCCTTCACCAACTCTTCCGTCTTGACGGCTACCGGGAGCGCCTCTGGTTGCTCAACGATTCGTGTGGGAGTGGGTCTGCGCTCGACTTCCTTGGCTTGAGGCCGAGGCAACTCTGCTTCCACTGGTACTACAGCAGAAACGGCCGCTACGTCTTGCACCGAAGAAGCACAATGTACAGGCGATGGTTCATGGACAACGTTCGGGTGGCTGCTGCTGGATGGCTCATCAACCAAAAGCTGCGAGATGCTTCTTGGCTTTGAAGGTGTCTGAGCTGGACTTGGGGGCGGCAACGGAGGAAGAGCGACTGGTGGGGATGCGGGAGTAACAACACGTGTAGCGGAAGGGGCAGTTTCGGGTGGCGCAACGGCGATATTTCCAGGAGAGGTGCCTGGCGCATGCGCTGGCCGAGGTTCAGATGCAGAAGGCGCGGAGAGGACTTGAGGAGAAGTAGGACTCAGTGCAGGGACGGAAGCGGGAGGGCGAGGCGATGGCGCAGAGGGGGGAATGGGAAGCGACGCAGGAGGAACAGGTCCAGGTAGGATAGAAGTACCAGTGCTAAAGCTCCCCGTACGCCTGCGTCTCTTGGTGGGAGGCTCGCCGTCGTGCGAAACCGGCTGGCCTAGCGAGATGAAGGCAAGCGAGCTGACACGCGCGTCAAGGCGAGGAGAGGGCAGTGGCGGGCTCTTTTGTGAAACCGGAGAGTGGGAGGGCGGGGGAAGCGGAGGGGGTATGCGGTTCAGCACTGGGCTCAAGGAGGCCCTCCGAGCCGTCTCTTGCCTCTCGAGAGGGGTAGGAAGCTCACCGCTCAAACGACGCCGCTCCTCCGTCGCGGCTTGCACCAACGCCTCCAGCGCGCCAAGACCGCCAGGACTTCCGTGCGATTGGAACGAGACTGCAGGGGACCTCGGTGGCCCGGGTGCAAGCAGATTCGACAGCGATGTCGCCGAGGACGTGCGAGGGAGTTGTGAGGGAGGGGATCCTGGTTGGGTGAGGGACGCAGATCGCATGTTGGACGAAGGCGCAGTGGAGGGCTCTCCAGCTTGGAGTGTGGGAGAGCCTGAGCTTGAAGGGATGGGAGGACTGTGCGTAGGCAGTGGGGAGTATTGCAGATATGAGGACTGCTGCAGCTCGCCGTATGGCGCCGGCTGAGACATGTGGCGGTAGAGGTTGGTTGGAGAAAGCGACGCCTGTCGACCCAGAGAAGGTGATTGAGGAGGGTTGCGAGCAGTTTGCGAGCTGTGCAGGGGTGGTGATACTTGCGTAGGTGTAGGGGAGTTGGCTTGTGGCGGAAGTGGGGGAGGGTATGTGTAAGACGCGAGCAGAGGGTCCGACTGTGCACTCCTGGACGACACAGGCCTGGAGAAGTAAGAGGAGCCTTCGAAGGCACGACGGCCCTCTTCGCGAGGGTCAGAACGTCTGCGGAATGTGGGTGGAGGAGCTGTCTGCG